CTGAAGTGTGATCGCTACACTCCCAAGCAGACCACAGGATGCACACCACCTGGAATGTCCTCAGAAGGAATCTTTTTTCATTGTCAGTGGGAGTATAAAATATAGTACCAATATGGAAATCACCATAGAAATTCCTCAAAAAACTAAAATGGGGGAGATGTGGAGGGAAGGGGAAAAAAGGAATTGTGATGTGTTCTGTACATGTACTAATTCCCCATAATGAATCATCATGCACTGTATACATGTAGTAATAAAAACTTAAGAAACTTAGTCACTGAAATTAAATGACCACTGACAGGATGAAACAGATTAAACACAGCTGAAGAAAAAGAACTGGAACACAGGAAATTAAGCAGAAGACAACTCAGAGAAATGATGAAATGGAAAATATCCAAGAGAAGATTTATGATATTAGGGAAGAATGAGAAGACCTGACACATGTCTAATCAGAGTTTGAGGATAACAATGCAAAAGAGGCAACAGTCAAAGAGATGAAGGTCTGAGAATTTTCCTGACCTCATTAAAGTCAAAAATTCTCAGGCTAAAATCCACACCAAAGTTAAACAGGGGTCAAAGGAAAAGAATCTGTTTTAGGGTAACTTAGAAGAAAGCAAAGCAGGAGAGACAGAAGGATAGAGCTTTTGTGTATCAGGCTAAAGCACCTGAACTTAACTGTAGACCATCAGGATAAAATTTCTGAGCAAGTGACATGATCTAACTGAATCTCTAACAAATTATATCCCAGCAGTGGCATGTAGGTATATTTAGGAGGAGAGGCATTTCAAAAGACTTCAGAAAGCTCCAATTACATAAAGACAGATGCTTCAGAAAGTAAGGCAAAGAAAAAAAGACAATGGGAGTAGAGAGAAAATAGGCAACTGAGGGCTGGTGAGATGGCTCAGTAGTCTAAAGCACCTACTTAGAACAAGCTTAGCAAAGCACAGGGACCACAGTTCAATCCCCCAGCACCACAAGCCAGCCAGCCCTTCCCCCCTGGTGGGCTGAGCTGGCCACACACACACACAAATAAATAAATAAAATAGGCAACTGAGGGGGTGCAGAGAATATGAATGAATACTTGGGGACATGTTAAAGGTAGAACTACAGCTAGAGAGAGAGCTGAGTGGCATAAGCACCTGCCTGGCAAATTCAAGGTCCTGAGTTTGATCCCTGGTACAATACATATGTATATACACAAACACACACACACACACACACACACACACACACACACGCACACACACACATATCCATCCTTGTAGAACTAAAAGAATTTATGGGATTGGGCAGCTGGGGGAGGTAAAGGCAGAGGAAAAGAAAAAGAACTGAAGCTGACTCTAAAGTTTGGGTCTAACTGCTAGAGAGAGAATAGGGGTGGTACCCAACTACCCCCAGAACAGGCAGTGGGGCCCAGCAGATGAAAATGCTGGGCTGAAAAGAAGCCTTTGGTTCTAATCCATTGGCAAGCTACTTACACAGGCTCAATTCCTTCAGTTCTATAACATGAGAGTATTTACATAAATTAGTTGAATAATTAACTAGTTGTGCACCCAAGGGGAATCAGAAGAAATCTCTAGTAAGCAATGAGAAATATGGGTCTAGAGTTCCAAAGGCAGTACTCAAAGGACAGAGGGAACAGTTAAAGCTGTGAGAACTGACCACATTATCAGACACATGAAAGGCCTATAAATCTTGGGAAACCTAAATAAAAGGTGGCAGCAGAAAGTTTGAAGCACACTAGTCTTAAAAAAAAAAAGGTTTTCTGAGATAGCATATCATAATCAGGCAACATACTGTATCAGGAGAGAGAATTGTGTTCCATTTTCCATTGCCAATTAATTTCCTTAGAGATTGAAAAAATGCAAAGAAAACAACCTTTATCGCAGATTTTCCCTATTACACCTGGAAAACACTGGTCCTTTTATTTCATTACAGTGTTAACAAAAACCTTACTTCAAAGGGTTCTTAAAACTATTCTAATTTTATAAAGACAGAAGCTTCATAATCTAGCACTTCAGAGAGCTCAAATTCTATGTGACCCAGGCTTTCATGATGATGCTGAACAACTGACGTCAATTAGCCCAATAGGAAAGCTGGCCACATTCATCACCTCAAGACTGAGAAACTACAGTCTCAAGTGAACAACACAGGCTAAATTGGGAAGACTTTCTGAAGTGGCACAATAAACCTGGACTTAGAAAACCCACAGCACAACACAGAAACATAGCTGGGAAGCAGACATGATGCTCGTCGCTGCTGCTCTGAAGGACACTTCTTAAATTGTTGCCTTGAACTAGTTAAACCAGACATAAAAATCAAGATCAAGTGCAACTTGTACAATGTATTTCTCAGACTAACTTCCGATTCAAATAAGTTATTTCATCTGACAATCAGAAAACTCTTCTTCATTCCTGCCTCCTACAGTGCAAGTGCACAAAAGCTGTAGGAACTAAAGGCTCTCAAGGGAAGAACTCAAGGCAAAACATGGGATTTTCCTGTATTCTGATATAGCACCTACTGCAACTGTACCACATCCAAATATAAGAAAAGACGAATGCCCTCAAGGCTGTGAGATTTTTATGGTCTCAAATATCCAGAATTCCGAGGTCTAAAAAGAAACACATAGGGATTGGGGAGATGGCTCAGTGGAATAAGCACTTCCCTGGCAAGTGCAAGGGCCTGAGTTCAATCCCCAGGTCCGCAAAAAAAAAAAAAAAAAAAAGAAAAGAAAAAAAAAAAAAAAAAAAAGAAACACGTAGAATCTACCATTTTCTCAACAGAATGAAAATATCAACCTAGTATTAAATTATTACAGCTAAATTTAGCATGAGTTCACTTGAATAATAGGGCTATGGCAAAAATCCAGGGCTTAGTAATTAAATACAGTAAGTGGAGGACCTCAGAGTAGCCTGATGTTCAATGCCTGACAAAAATAATTAGAACACAGCTGCTCAGCCTCTCCCATAAGAAAAATTCCCCAATCGAAATTAAAATATTTACTAATATGACTCTTACTGTATAATCAGAACCATAAAATGATATTAAAATTCTTCTACTGGCACCCTGATCAGAACATATGAGTAACTGATTGTCACGCTTCAAGTGAATCACACTCTTCCCTGACATTAAAACATTTGGTAACAATAACTTCCAACACAAAAGGCCTGAGAAAAGTGGCAAGTATTATTTTTATCACATATGGAAGGATTACTATAAAACTACTCATAAATGTAAAATTTGGGAGTACTTGATTATAGGTGTATACTACAACACTCAGCTTTATTTGTAACTTTAGAAACCCCACAAACAAAAGGCTTCATGTTAAGGACAAAACTGAAAGAAAAAATTTTTGCTTTCTAAATAACAATAGCAGAATTAAAAACAAAAATTCTAATTAAAAATATAGAAACTGTCAGGTATGGTGGCACACACTGTAATCCTAGCACTTGAGAAGCTGAGCCAGGAGAATTGTCATTAGCTCAAGGCCACCCTGAAATGTATAGTGAGACCCTGTCCCCCGCCTAAAAAACAAAAGTAGAAACTGTATAAAACAAAGAAACTCATACCAAGAGACTAATCTAATTAGGCAAAGAAAAATGTACAGCATTTAGATGCCCACTGTCAGGAATGCTCCACGTCTGAGAGCTCGCCAATAACACATGTTCTTTTCTGGGGAATTCTGCCCTCTAGTGCACAAAAATAAAGTCCCTGAAGCAACCACAGCGTTCTGTCAATAAATTACTGTTATAAAATTAACCACAATTTTTTTCATTCCTAGAGCACCTCAGACTTTTTTATTTTTATTTTTCTTCTTTTTGAGACAGGGTTTTGCTATGCAGCTGGCCTCAAACAGCAATCGTCCTGCCTCAGCCTCCTGAGTGCTGGGATTACAGACATGTGCCACCATGCTCCACGACATTTTCCTCCTTAAAGAAGGTTTTCACATAATTGTATCCAAATCAATTTGTTATCATACTACATACACTTAACCAATTGTTGTAACTTTAAGTGCTTCTTACAGTTCTTCAAGTACCAAAAGCAAAAATTTAACAGACCCATTTTTTCATACCAAAAGAAGTCTGGCACAATTAGGAATAAAACTACAGGGAAATAGTTTTTATAGGCTTATAACACAGGACTGGCCAAATAGCTCAGCGGATTAAAGCACCCGCAAGCAGGTGCAGGAGCCTGACGTTCCATCTCCCCCACCTGCCATGCTGGTGCCGCCCTGCCCCCAGGTGCGCTGAGACGGCCACTGAGACTGGGCTAGTGGCATGTGCCTATAATCCCAGCTCTTGGGAGGCTGTAAACAGGCAGATCACTCTGAGTCCGATCTAACAGTGAGACCCTGAATATTTTATAGTCCCTTCCCTAAAATAAAAAAAGCTTATAATACAGATACACCACTAGCTCTTAAAATTAGAGATTTTTGAAACTTATTGGCACTATAATTCAATAAGACCAATGAGAAAAGACTGCTATATACAATAAAATTTATCTCTCTACAGGATTTCCTAAGAACATGAGTAAGTTCAACTCTGCACAACCTTAAAAAACACTACTGATATGAGTTCAGACTATTTGTTGTAAGTATCCAAACTGGAAAAAATAAATAAAAAACAAGACAAATAAATGATTTGGGGCTGGGGAGATAGCTCGGTAGAATGAGTGCTTCCCTGGTAAGCGCAAAGGCCTGAGTTCAATCCCTGGTTCTGCAAAAAAATAAAAATAAATTAAAAATAAATAAATAAAAAGGCCAAATTGACAAAGGTTGCCCTGTCCTAGTGACCATACATGAAAAAGTTATTGCTATCAAAGATTTTCCACATTTGATATCGTTTCTCATTTAGATACTCAAATTGGCAGGGACTTCATTTCCTGATCCAAATGTCCAATTTTTTAAAATTTTATTTTATTTATTTTTTGTATTTAGTATAGGGCCTACAGGGCCTCACTACACAGACTGGACTTGTACTGATTCTCCTGTGTTCAGCCTCCCAGTGCTCGCGTCAGCAGCACACATACTAAAACTGGAAGGATACAGAGAAGCTTAGCATGGCTCTACGCAAGGATGACACGCAAATTCGTGGAAGTGTCTTCAGCCTGCCAAGCACTGGGATTACAGGCGTGCACCACCACACCCAGTCTCCAATATTAAGCCTCTGCTTCCCTGAGAAGGAACCTCATTAGCCTTCTCCTCATTCATTATTTCTCTCAATTATCACCCTGGCTGGAACAATACCCCTGAATCAAAGTGAATGAAATCACCTTTAATACAGCCAAAATATTCCAACTATTTATGGGGAAATCTCTTTTAAAAATGTCTTCCTGGGGCTGGTGAGATGGCTCAGTGGTCTAAAGCACCTACTTAGAACAAGCTTAGCAAAGCACAGGGACC